AGTTCGATCTTCGGCAGTTTAAATTTGCGCTTCTCTGGTAATTCAGTAGGTAAAGGATTCTTCGACAGCTTTTCGATTTGAGAACACAGTTCAAAATATTTATCTCTATAAGGCTCAGACGAAATAAAATCTTCTTCATATAGCTTTTCAGCTTCTTTAGATTGTAGAATTAGCGACGTTACTTCCTTTTGGCAAATTTCAAGTCGATTAAACTTGTCTCTAAGCTGTTGTTCCAGAATCGAAAGTAGCTTCAAATCAGGAATATCTGATTTCAGTTCTGCATCAATTTTGTTTGCACATGTGGTAAAGGAAGTTCTTAGACATTTTCTTTCGGTTTTCAGCTGTGTAAGCTCCATTTTCAATTTATTTTAGCTGTTATCGCGCCCCACGTCTTGGCGCCACAATGTTATGTTACGTAAGGCGTTACGTTCGAACAATGGCTAGCTCAGAAGGGATTCGTAAGTCATCTACCCGATGAATTAACAGCTATCTTGTCATAAATGGAGTACTTCATTTAAACTTAAGCAAAAAGATTTATTTACACATAAAGACAAGTTAAAAGAATATAAAATATTTATCTAGCTACAATATCTATCTAGCCACATCATGCAAACATCGTTCTTAGCTAACTAAACCGGAACTGTTCGTTTTCCTCTGGCGTCCCATGACGTCAGTCTCTATCTGGCTTTTGATTCGTTGGCTTAGTGATGCCATTCCCAACACGATATCGCTACAATAGACAATGAAATAATGCACAGATACCGCAAATATTCAAATCATCCTTTCTTAAAACAGATTGGACGTGGTTCACGTGGATCACCCCCGGAACTTCCAAGCCCATGATCTTGAAATACCATAAGACAGCAGCGTGCGCTATTTAGCATTAGTTAATTATCTCTCGTTCACAGAGGTTCTCGGGTATAAGAGTATTGATACTCTCGAAATCAGATGCTACATTTATACAATCTAAGATTGAAAGGAGAAAACACATCTACATCTGCTGATTCAGATGCAGTGCAACCATATCCAACAAAATTAGCTGAAATCATTGCCGCCGACTCCTACACGTTTGATCAGATCTTCAATGCTGAAGTGCCTGAAAGAACCTATTTAGCTAAAGCTTGCAAATCAGCTAGTGATCATAAGGTAGTGAAAAGTCGTATAAAAATTCATTTCTGTTGCAACACTTTAGGCGATTAATATAATGAAATCATTGGTAATTAGCAAATCAAAAACATCATGTTCATTTAAAGGAATATACATAAATAATCTTCCCATTTATTGAATGGCTAATAAGAAAGCATGAGTCACTGAAATAAGCTTTCAATGAATGGTTTCATAACATGCTTGTTCCAGATGTCAAAATTTATAATTTATTTAAGTAAAAAGGGATTGCCTTTTAAGACTCTTCTTTTAATTGAAAATGCGACTATTCATCTTCAAGATTTACAACACAAAAAATAGAAATTGTCTTTTTACCCAAAAAATACAACTTCCTTATTACAGCATTGCATTGAATCAAGTAATAATTCCGACTTTTATGACATTGTATATCAAACAAACCTTTGGGTATATTTGAGAAAAAATGGAGAATGATGAATCTCTTACACTTATGGATGGCTTGGAAGAAATTTACAATCTTAGATTGTGTTGGACTGTCATATACTCAGATTAAACAATCAATGCTCAACGCATGCTAGAAAAGCAATATGATGTTGCTAAAGATGAGAATGATAGATTACCATTAGAGATGAATATTCTCAGATCACTAAATTGGCCCAAACTGTAGAAGGAGGAGGTTTTGAAGATTTAGCTCCGGCACATATCAAAGTATAGTGGCTGATGAAGAACTTAATGAGGATGAGATAGTTAACACGATTCGTGAAACAAATAAACATGATGATGACAATGATTCTGATGAAGCGCAATCTGAACCAGCTTCTTTCACAGCAAGAGTCATCAACATAGGACTTGAATTGGGGAGAAAATTAGGTAATCATTTTTTACAATATGACACAAATGTTGAACAAGCTCTCTGATTCCAACGGGAGCTTAGTAAGTGCCTAAATCAATATGAGGAGGTTTACAAAGATTTAGGAGAAAAAAAACCTAGGCAATTGTTAATTACGGATTTCACTACAAAGTCTTACTGATCTGAGATCTTCCCTAATTCGTCAACCATTGAAGTAAGAATGGTTATCAAGAACGGTCAAGTGATGAAAGTGACATCATATCAATCAAGAAGAAAAGTCTAATAGTTTATGAAAGTGATTAAACTTATAATAATTTTTTTTGAATTATCTTATATTTTCCTAATGTAAAATAAAATAAATATGCACTTCTATTACCTACAAATATTTTTATTTTATGAACAAAGTATAACTTTATTTATTTTAAGATATCTTACTTTTGTTTTGAGTAAATAAATAATTAAATTATGCACATTTAATGTGTTTTTCATTTTACATAGCAAAATGCAAGATTTCGATTTACATGGTTTTGTGCGGAACTTATCTTCCATGTAAATCGAGGGATAGAGCTGTATATAAGAAGAATGAAAGGGGAATACTACAATTATAATTCCTGTATTTAAAAGTAAAATTAATGACACAGCGATGCATGTTAGCCACAATAAAGCAGAGAAGAAAGTGCATAGTTATCCAGTATGGAGACTTAGTTTAACAGAGGTTTCAGTTTGCAATTGAATCCTATTCAGGGACTGGATAAAAATTATCTGCATTACTGCGTTACATAAGATCTTTTAATGTGGATTAATTTTGATATGACACAATTTAGACTAATATGTTATTAATATTTACTATTTTTAGAACAGAAAGCAAAAATACCCAAATTAAAATGAAGAATGAAGGGGCTATTACAAAATTAAAGTTAGTAGTTTGCTTTGATATTTTTATTTTACACATTACATACACAAACAAAAACTGATAAATTTTAAGCTAACATGCTACATATTTATTAAAGCCGTGCAGTATGCTGTGCAATTAATTGAATAATTAAGAGAAAAAGTTGGAGAGTTACCCCTTTTGATGATTTAATTATTTTCTTTTCACTTTACACACATACAACATATATATATTATTTTGCATTATTATCATTACTTGTTGCTGCTATCAGCACATAAATGGATTAGTCTTGAGCTCCTTGTTTCTTTGCATTTATTCCTTATACACAGCTCTGCTTTTAAAACATTTACATATTCCAAAAGGCATGAATTATTTTGATTAATTAAATATTAACTCTTATTCATAACGTGTCATTACCAGTTCAGAAAATTTACTTCTTTGGTTGCACTAACCTTCTGATAATGACGGGACAAAAGATGTGGATTATTTTCCTCTTTTTCTATTACAATTTTCATTTTTGGTTTTTAACTGATTTTGCTTATTTTATGCAATATGTCACCATGCTTCTGATTTTATATTATAGCATATGATTTGTTCCAAATTGAATAAGAGATGGATTTTAAATGTTTGACTGTAATTTATTTTTCATTATATGCATGTAAGATATAAAAATATCATGGAAATTTATTAACAAATTAAACTTCATTGGAACAAATTGACAAAAGGCCTTTAAATTTATAATTTTCAGCTGAAGTGCATCAGCTCCAAGGATGCGTATTTCACCATTTTACATCACTCCTGCAGTATCAGCACTGCTGTAGATTTTTGCTCAGTTGCTTCTCAGGATTAAAGCAAAGAACTTTCTGAGCTTATAAATACTACAGGAATTATTATGCATCACCTTTTATGGCCTACGCTTGCTAACCAAAGGATGTCTCTTGTTCAGCTGCTTCTATGCATTATAAAAAATGCAATGCATTGTAACTAAAATTGTGGGCTGCAGATCATCCCCACTGTGCTGTGCCATGCCATATAGTAATCAACAAGTAATAAAGATGCTTGGATTATCAAGTGCTTTTGTAATTCTTCAAAAGTTACCACCATTTTCTACTGCATAACTGATATTTCAGTGATCTTTTGCAAAATAACTGGTGATTCTATTCATATCATTATGACTTAAAACTCTGTAATGAAGTCAAACATATATTAAAACATAGTTGAACATACATATATATACATATATATCATAAGTAAGGTTGTAAGAACAAATGAAAAAAGACCAATTTAGGTCAAAATTTTGCGCATTGTGCTGCAAAATTAAGGAAATGAGAAGATAAATTTTAGATAGCTCGCCAAAAAGTTACCAAAAACTGTGCCTCTGAGAAAACTCCAACATAAGCATATTTAGTTGCTATGAAAAGTGTGAAAGAGGAGAAAAAATATTTGAACATTTACAAATTAACATATTTAGTAGCTATGAAAAGAGTGAAAAGAATAAAATTTTTTAAAAATTAATAATAATAATAATATATATATAGTTGAAATAAAAATAGATGAATATACTATATATGCAATATATTCAATTGTTATATATAAACTTCTCAATGGTGATTGTATTCAAATCATTACAACTTAAAATTCTGTAACAAATTCAAATACAAAATTTTTATTTTTCAGTGTACATCAATTTAATAATACTCACTTATAACTGCTCAGCATAACCATAAAATACAGCTAGCAAAACTATGTTAGTCTTAGTAAAGTGAAGTACAGAAATAGAAACAAGGATTTCATGAAAATATGCTTAAATTTAATTTATAATTATCTATTTAACCCTTTAACTGTCAAGTTATTTTGATGATTTAGGTACACAAATTGTCAAATTTTTTTATTGGAAAAACCAAATGTAGCCGAAATAAACATCTCCCAATACATATTCGGGTATGACAATACGATGCACTCAAAAAAAAAAAAAAAAAAAAAAAAAAAAAAACCCCCGAGAATTACTGGGCCGTGAACATTTCGAACCCGAGATATCTCGGACAAGTTAAAAGTTAACATGATATCAAAAGGTTAATTGTATATCAAAAATTTGTAACTTTAACATGTTTGCCAAACATAACAAATTTTAAAATACTAACCAGTAAAATGTGTAATCACACTAACATCTCTTATCAATACAGTATCAAATCCAACTATTTCTAAAGGCTTCCTGCAAAAAGTAAATCAGTTAAACATTAAGAAATTATACTCACAGAAATATGTAATATTATTTACAATATAGTAAAAATTTAGAATTAATTTTATGTTAGTACCCATAACACATTTTTTCACTTTAGATCCATTACAAAGGACATTTTTATTAAATATGAAAATTGGCAATATCTGTGAAGGCTGCTGAATGATTAAAGTACTATATGATATATTAAACAACATAATATATATGGCTAGTTCTCTGCTTACTTATTTACATGAACAATTAAATATCATAAACAACACTATACCTGTACGCTGTATCACTCAGCTTGGACAAAACTCTTGAGAGAAATATAATTCCAGAATGGAGTAAAATTAATCTAAATTCTCATAATGTGGTACACAATGAAAGTAAATAAAGCTAAGTTTTTATATGTGACCAGCTATGTCTCAATATCTTTATTCTAAAAAGGACATCTTCTCTCTCTAACACATTAAATTACCATTTTGATTTCTGTGCAATTTTTGACAAAACTCATGTAGAAAAAGTTCCTCTATGAGTGGTTAACTGCTGGTAAAAACTTGCGCAGTGATTACAATCTATGGAATTGTACTGCACACATGCAGAACCTTGCTCCTGTGATTTTATTGCACAAATTCAGGACTCCTAAGATAGCCATCCACTTTGCAGATGATTTAATGACCAGTTGTTTTTTCAAATTGCCTATTAAGATTGTGTCTAGCACATATGACTGTACTTCTGTCCTTCATAGATTTCCTTGTGTGAAAGGAATTTTCCCGGAGCATCTGAGGCTGATTTTCAGTTCATGTAAAATAATCTTCACTAAAAAGTTTTATTTAGGTGAAAAAAAAAATCCTGAGCAATAAGTCGATAAAAAATTCTGTTGCAGAAAAAGGGATCTTGATGAAGAAATTTTGATTTAATATTTGAAATCAAAGTAAACAAAAAAGTAAGTCAATAAATACACCATATGCTACATAAAAATCACCAAACTTTTTCTATACAATAAAATCATTGTAGATCACAGTTAATAAATACAGGCTAATTAAGAGAAACTTTTAATTTATTAGTCAATACATGAGCTACAGCTTTAAAAAGAACACAGGCTACTAGACAAGTTTCTGGAGTAATGGCAAAATAGGCCAAATAAAGAAAATGCAAATGTATTCTCTGCATATAAAATAAATAACCAATTTGAAAGTTTTTGTTTAAAGCCTCCTCCAAGCATAGAAAGCAAAGCAGTCTCTAGTCTATCAGCTAATTTTTTTTTTTAAGCTACACCTAAATAAAGGGATATGTTGTTTTGAATCATTAATATGTTTAAATACAAGTGAAAGCAAACTGTACTGATCACCTAGGATGCCAAAAATGCTAGTATCAAAACAGATGTTAAAAAAGTCACAGAAATTTTCAGGGCACACGCTGATTACATCCTTTTCAAAAGATTATCTTATACAGACTATCACGAAAAAGACTTACACAATTCTATAGTCATAAATAATAACATAAAACATAAATCATACTGCAGAGTGTATATCTACATGAAGTTTCAAAATTAAATTAATTTCTTCAAAAAGAAATGGTATATAAAAGTTTAACCATGCAGCAATCAAATTATATGCTTATGCAAAGAACCACTTATCAATCCAATGTTTATAAAACAAAATTAATTTCTCAAAATCAGTTGCAAAGTTCATCAATGCAATTCAAAAAGAAAATATTCAAAGAATTTTACAACACACTACCTCTGTCTAGCTTGGCCTAGTTATACTCACAAAGATAAAGAGATAATCTCACAGTCAGTACTCCTGAGATGGATAATTGCAGTGGTTTCTCCACTGTAGTATACTTTTAATTTGTCCATTACAAACAAAATCAAAACATCTTTAGAATTCCTTTTAATTCTTTGACTATTCTTTCAGCTTCTAACAGTTACCAAATTTCTTTCAAACTCTTTTTACAGCACATTAAACTGCTTCTGTAACAGTATCATATGCTATTGCTCGTATTTCATTATAAACCATGGTCGATGACAAATGCAAAACATGTACAGTAATTGATCTTGTTATTATAAATTCACTAATGTACAAGGTATTTTTTTCTGTGTGCCTTCGTGGTGTAACTGGAAGAACATCTGTCACGCAATCAGGAGGTCTAGAGTTCGAATCATATTGAGGCAATGTGAGGTTTTTCAGTTTCCTGACATTGAAAAGTTAAATGAATCTACAATTGGCACCCAAATGAAAAGGTGGTGGACAACAATTTGTCACCGCTAGGATTAAGCAACTAGGTCCCCTTACTCCCACTCACCCTTTAAAAGGGGGAGTATATAAGGAATTGTCAGTGTCCTTACAGGGTGCCTTTCTGGCTTAACTTTTGTGGTGAAGAGGTGTATTTAATTATGGCAAAGCACACTAGGGCTATCTGCCTAAGGGGAGGGATGCCTTTCGTGGAGGACTTTCTAAGGGAAACTGGCTCGTATACACGTTACACATAGGGAAAGCCACGAAAGCGCCCGTGCAGCCAGCCCGTTCGTGGGATTCGAACCTCGGACCGAACTACCAGTGTTCAGCGACTTTACTGCTCCGCCGCTCTCTGGCTTAACTGGAAATGCATGCAATGTATAATCGGGAGGTCCAGAGTTCAAATCCCGGCAAAGCTATTGCACTTTTTCATGTCTTGTATGAATAAACCTAATAACTCTATAAATGTTTAAAGAAGACATTTGAAGTCTGAGTGCTTGATAACCTACGTTCTAATCAAAACTATTGTGTTCCTGCATGCAGAATTTTGATCTTATCTATCAACTGAAGTTTGCATGATTCAATAACAAATGAACTCATAACTACACATATTTTTTATATTAATAAGAATAAGCAAGTAAATTTTGGAAGCTATGCTAGTTAAATTACATGCTGCTTTTAGATGGTACAGTCATCAGCAAAAGCTGTCTGCTAATATGAAACCAAGCCTATGGGTTCAACTTCTATGCAACATTTGGCTACATGGTCGCGGACACTTAGCCGACAGGAAACTTAACTGACACCAGTTAGCCGACCAAGACATTTAGCCAACAGGAACACTTAGCCGACATGGACACTTAGCCAACAAGGACACTTAGCCGACAGGACATTTAGCCAACACGGACAGTTAGCTGACAGGACGTTTTGCTCCCACAGAGAGTTAGCCGTCAAGACATTTAGCTACGGGACACTTAACTGTCAATACAATCAGTCCACAGGACACAAAGCCGACAATAACGTTTAGCTGACACGGACCCAATAATTATTCAAACTTACTATCAATTACAAAATTTCTCGACTTCTCCATAAATTCAATATTTAAGTTATTTTTTCACTATCAGTAAAATTCATTTTTCAATTCTTAAAGATCTCATATATACTTTTAATATTGTGTTAATTTAGCATTGTTTGATATGTATCCATGGATCTTATAAGAAATAGACCAATCCAAATGGGTTTTCTCCCTTGCCTTGGCGTATTGCCGGCTGTCACCTTGCCTACATCCGGAGGGGTATGCAGCGCGTATAATTTTCAAGAAAAAGCTGGTGATAGTGCCTCATTTTACAAATTAGAATTTTTAGATATTTTTATTTTTGAAACTCAGATTGATTTTTAAAAATTTAGCATGTTTATCAAGCATAATTAATGTTCTAAATAATTATAAAGCTCATTTCAGGTCTGGATATTTTTTTAGGTTTTCCTATGCTGTACGGAAATTTGTATCTCCTTCTTTTAAAAAATAATATTTTAAATCTGAACTAATAGAAAAATTCAAACAAACAATTTTCTGTTACAATTTTTATGCTTTTTATTGGTATAAATAAGTAAAAAATACTAAAATCGAAAAAATGGATTTTTGAAAGTTTTTGCTTAAAATTCTTATTTGTACTCCTTTTTTTAAATTATATCTGAATATTATAGCATAATATTCTACAAAGAAGTTTTATTTCAATAAAATTTCATAATACATCATAGTGATTAACACTTTAATAATTTTTATGCATTTATTCTCGTGTTAAAAATTGTATTTAACTGTAATAATTCATTGTGCTAGTATTTTATAGTGATTATTTTTTTTAAAATTTATGTCTAGTTCTGCATAAGTTTCCTTTGCTAATTTATTTTATCAGCCCAAAGGGGTGGCAGCACAGAAAATCTATTAGTTTCGAAATGGCATTTTGCTTTGTTTCACTATAAATGTCCGTTACACTTTGCAAACTGTTGCCACCAAATATTATCGCCCTGTATTATATTTAAAGAAATTAAATAAAGAAGAATCTGCATGAATGCATGCATGTTTCTCTCGCACTGTGAAAAAAACAACAGAATTTAGAACCATAAAATTTTGAATAACGTAATCCTCCACCCAAACATGGGCATCTGCACGGCTTAATTTCGAATTTGTTTTAATCCATTTCATATTTTGTAACTTTAACGAAGTTTTGATTAACAAACTCAACGAGTTCAAAGCAAGCAATGGCAACCCTGTACAGACAATAACATTTTTATCTCCAACGTGGAAATTCTAAAGATATGTCATTTTCAAATATTTTGTGATACTGTTCTTGAATTGAATTTTATGTGGTTTACTTGCGAAGAACATGATGTTTAATAAGTAAAGGTAACATGCAAAACATTACAAAAACGCTCCTTTGGGCGCAATATAAAATTATATTTGCTGAGTGCTTCCAGAGTTTATCTTTTTTTTTTTTCCTCATTACACTCAAAAAGGTTTATGCTCCGAATTTTATGAATTACTAAAATAAATAATCATCTTGTAATGTTAATAATTAATGATCATATAATCAAATAAACGATCGTCTTTTTATGTTATAATAATTTTAAAAACTACTGCCTGAATATGCTCATAAAATCAAAGAAAATTTATATAGGTTTCTGTGTTAAAGTAAGCCAGATCGTCCCTACTCTTTCTTGCAGACATGTGGGCGACGCATGCTCCGCCCACTGGGTTAGTCTATCTTTTATAAGGTCTATGTATGTATCGTGCTGTTTTGGTGTATATTGGTGAAATTGATAAAGCGCTGAAATTTCTCATCAGGGAATATGAATGAAATTTCGAAAGAAAAAAAAGAATTTTTTTAGCTAAGTACGGCGGTCACTCAATTACATTTTAATGTGAGATCTTCAAAAATTATCCATAAAGCTTCTTCATTTAATCAACTGGGTTCTTTTGAACACTTTGACATCATTAATAATTTTTCTAGTTTACTTAATGATATTAATTTTCCAATCTCACTCTTCCAAATGCTTTCAAATTTTTAATACCTTTACGTTTCATTACTATTTTACATATCACATCATGTTACATTCTTTCCCTTACAAAATCGTTTGGCTCCTTCGACTAATGAAATTTCTTTTCCCTGTCATGAAAAATCTGAATAATGCAATAAAATCTATTGTTATTCTTGAATTATACTTTTTATGGAAACATATAGTGGTGAGGGTTAGTTTAGCATATATATTTTTTTTGTTATTAAAAACAATTAAAAAAAGTGAATTTTTAACACAAGCAAAGGTATAAATTATTTGTGACCTCTATAATTTGCAGTTCATGCCACCATTCTTAAGATAAAAGTTCTGCAACATTTTATTGACTACGCCTCTCGCTTAAAATACTTACTTAGGTTAATGTTTATAGCCTTAAACTAGTGCATAATGTTTATTTTAGAAGTAAAATATTCTTTAAGGTTTTGTTTTATTCATTTTCGAGAAATTTCAGTGCTTTTTCAATTTGGCCAATGTACACCAAACAGCACGATACATATCAAACAATGCTAAATTAACATAATAATTAATAGCACATATGAGATCGTTAAGAATTGAAAAATGAATTTTATTGATAGGTGAAAAAAATGACTTATATATTGAACTTATGAAGAAGTCGAGAAATTTTGTAATTGATAGTTTAAATAACTTTTGGTTCGTGTCAGTTAAACGTCACTGTCGGCTTAGTAACCTGTTGACTGAATGTCTTGACAGGTAAGTGTCCCGCAGCTCTAAATGTCCTGAGGGCTAACTCTCTGTTTCGGCCAAACGACCTGTCGGCTAAATGTCTTATCGGCTAACTGTCCTGGGCTAAGTGGCCTTGTCGGCTAACTGTCCGTTTTGGCTAAATGACCTGTTGGCTAAATGTCCTGTAGGCTAAGGGTCCGTGTCGGCTAACTGGTGTCGGTTAAGTGTCCCGGACCCTTGGGCTACAGCTGTGTTTTCCTTTTTTCTTTCTCTTTGTAAAATCAGTTATTCTTGTGATGCATCACAGGCAATGTTTTTGGTGTTAAGATGGATAAATGACCAATATGTTCAGTTATTCCTGATGAATGCTTAACAAGCAAATGTCTAGTAATTTAGAAAAAAAAAAAAAAAAAAGATGGAAATCATATAAAAATTAATTTTCAAAGAACCTGGATAAATATATAAACTGTCTTTTTATAAAAAAAGTATACTGATAGCAAAGTATACTTTCTTAAAAATTTAACATCTTAAAATATGCTTCACATAAATGATTAATTACATTAAAAAAACAAGATTGAACTTTTAAATGAATCACAATAGGAGGGGGCAGTTAACTCAGACATACCATATTCCTTGAGTTGGGAAAGAAGGTCCCCAGTCCCAACTAAATGAGCTTTGAGTTTTCCTCATGTAATTGACATGGCACTCGCCATTTTGAACAGGTGGAGGACAGGTAGGAGGAATCACATAACGCTTTAAAGTTTGTTCACTGTGCTTTTCTTCAGCATATGCAACTGGTGATCTAAAACTCACTACAATAGTGTTATTGCTCTAAAATAAAAATTGAAAAGAATAAAACATCATTACGATAAAATAACATGCTAACAAGTATTAATTTAGAATTCAAACAACAAAAATCAGCATTACATTTTCAAATTTATTGCACTTTGGCAGCTGAAGCTGATGGTTTGGTAAAACCATTGAAACTAGTCCTGTAAAAATTCGCAAATATTGAACAAATTTGCGGAACTACTCCTATATGTGCCCTCAGGTCGCCAAACAGTTTTGGCAAGAAACTCCACGCCACCATATTACTACCTAAATTTTTTGTCTACATTTCAAATTTTAAGGCTAAAATGTCTCCAAAAATGCAGTTTTTGCACATGCTAAAACCCCGTTTTGAAGACACAATTTAAGCCAAAAATCAGAAACAAAAACAAAAAATTTAGATAGCAAAAACGTAAAGTTTTTAGCCAAAATATTTGACAAGAATCCATGTACACAGCGATACATTTTAACTTCAAAAAATGTCTACGAATTGCACATTCTAGGCAGTGAAGGAATCTACAAACTACACACACCTTGCTTTTAATAAATTAACATAACAACAATAAATTTCAAAGACTACCATGCACACAGCATTCTTTTTAAACTTGAAAGTAATGATAAAAACTTCCTCCGAAGTTAACATACTACAGGAAAACCACAATCCAAATCTTAAACTCCGCTGACACCCACATACTTTACCAGCAAACATTTAACTGCAAATCCCCACAAGAACTATCAGAAACGCCCTTTTTCGTTATAGTTCTCATAGCAGCTCTGCATTTCGGACTCTGTTGTAAAAGTCCCACAGAAATTCCAAAAATACACTTCAATCCTCGTAAACACACCTATGAATAAAAGACTCATTTAGAACTCCAACATCGTACCTTTTAATACTAAATTTACTTTCCACACAATCTAAAATACGCTACTGAAATCTTGCCACCATGTCTATCATTGCAACATAGGCCATTTCAAAATACAAATGACACGAACCAACGAGTAATTAAACCACTCCCGTAAAAGAGTTTTCAATGTTAACAGGGTTGCCATACAACACCCAATCGCACAAAAAACCAGTGCAGAACACATATTGCCACATTAGGTGGTATTAGGGCATATATAAGAGAAGAGCCAAATTTGCAAATATAACCTCAATTTTTGTTGTTTGAATTCTAAATTAATAAAACATTAGTCATGGTTTCTATCATAAATAATTAAGCACATAATAAAAAAGTATCTTAAAGAGCTTTAGCTCTTTAAGATACTTGTTGTAATGTTGTAATACTTTAAGATACTTCTTGTAAAATGTGCTCTAGGTTGAAATTTATTTCATTGCATTAATTTTATAACTATTGGCAGAAAGTAAATTTCTTTTGATTTTTATATATTATATGGTATTTCTCCCTCCTTTCTGCATGCCTTTGTAGTGTAACTGGCAGCACACTTGACGTATATTTGAGAGGTCCAGCGTTTCAGTCCTGGCAAGGGTACTGCACATTTTTCATGTCTCCTGCTTCAAAATTAATAAATGCTTCTAGAAATGGTGTCTGATCTAAAAGGTGGTGAGCTATAATTCATCACCATCAGGATTTGGTATTTGGGGTCCTCTCATTTCCAGTCACCCTTTAACAGGGAAGTATATAAGGTAATTTTTGCTCTTTTCTGCATGCTTTTGTGGTGTAACTGGAAGCACGCTCAATGCATATTCCAGAGGTCAGGGTTCGAGTTCCGGCAAGGGCCTTGCACATTTTTCACGTCTCTTGTTTCAAAATAACCTTATGACTCTACAATATAAAATTTTGAATATATATACGTATATATAAATACTTTATTACTTGATTATACTTTGTTAAAACACATTATGAAAACGTCTCTGCATAGTCTGAACTGAAACATAATGTATTAACTAATATCATAGAAAAGTAGCTTTTATTTTATTATTTGAAATGACATCAGAAAAAATTACCTCTAAAATATGCTTGATATCAAAAATATAACGAATAAACATATTGTTTGAAGAACCAATGAGTTTTCCATTTAAAAAGATCTTGCTAACTGTATCCAAACCATAAGCAACTAGAATAATCCTCTTCTTTTGCAAAAGATGACACTCAACTTTAAAATAAAAAGGGAGAAAGTCAGGCACTTACTAAAAATAAATATATACTGTAAAATTAAGCTATTTTAGTGATATTAATAAACAAACAAACCATTAAATGTTCTCTTAAAGATCCAATTTTCTCTTCCAATCCAGCGATACTTTACATCATTATCTCCAAAATATGGATCATCAATTACATTATTGTGCCATAAATCAGTAAATATATTTCCAGGAACTTTGGATTTAACAACAATACCTGGAATGTAAATTATACAATTAAAAAAAAAGTTTGATTAGTTAATCTGGAGACAATTCATATGATAATTAAAGTTTTAAATGGCTTGTGATTAATAGCTTAATTATTTTAATCATAGAATAATATACAGTCAAAAGTTGTTAATCTGGACTCGTCAGACTTCGGCGATTCCAGATTATAGATCATCAGTTTAATCTGGTAAGATGGCATGCAGAAATTACAAAACTAAAAATATGAAATCATAATTTATGAAATAAAGAACAATTATGATCTAAAGGGTATCAAAATTTACAAAAAAAAAAAAAAAAAAAAAAGCTTAATATTTATTTGTTTACTTTATTAAACATTTCTTTCAATGTAAGTTGTTTAAGTTGCTTTGTTTTTTATGTGATAATACTTTCTCTTTAATTCTATAAACAGACATAATTTCTTGTTCAGTTACAAAGTTCCGCTGTTCAAGTCCTATAATTGCTGTGTCGAGAATACCGAATTTGTCAATTGAAATTTTTTCATTTTGAATAACCCCTGTGTCACTTTCTTCACTATCGGAAGCGAATTATAATGACGAGGAATTTGATTTAAATCATATCAATGACGGAGTACATTGAGATGAAATACTACATTTAGTAAGGAATTATAAGCCAAATAAAATAAAAACATCTGCCGTGAAGATAAGGATAGTGCTGACAGATCAACTTCCAATTCATTGTGAGCCACGGTGTCGCCCCCTTTTCCCCCCGCCGACGCAGAGCAGCGTGAAATTGATAAACAGATTTCGGAATGGTTAGAGAAACGAGGGATATGACTTAATCCATTTTTTGCAGCAATTCCACTTTTTGTTTAATGGACTTCGAAACATACTTTTGCTTTACATATTAGTAAATATATATCGGAAATTCTATTTGACATAATCGAAAGTTCAAGCTTACTTTTATAAAATTGCTCCAACAGTCTGCAAAAAATAATAAGCCGGATCCAATTCAAAGATTAAGGAACAACACAATCTGCAACATTAACTGAATTAGATAATTTTAGCTTAGCTTATACCGTCCGTTATACATTCAATGCGCATGCGTAAACGTATTATGTGCGTGCACACACACATATTCGCAGCCGCAAAGATCTTACGTGCAAGCGTAAACACCTATGTGCATGCCTGAACAGGACGCATGCGCAGAAAGTTTGTAGCTTTGAGGTCCAGATTATAGATCGTTCCGGATTATGGGTGTCCGAATTAACGACTTTTGACTGTAGATATATACAGTGCAAAGCAAAAGATCAGGAAATGTCGGGACTTTGTTCGGATTTCAGAAATTTCTAGATTTTAGATCTAGTAAGATGACAGATAGACATGTCAAAATTGGGGCTTCACTTATTTTTTGGATCAGATAATACAATGTTAGCCCCCCCAACTGGGCCTGTGCCAGAACCAATGCAGCTGCACATTGCAGTAGAATTTACAGTGGTAAAGAAATCACAGGAGCACCAACCAGCAAAATTAAGGATGATAAAATTTTTAGAATTTAGGATGAGGCAATGAGGAGCAAAATTTAGCGGTGGTAAAATTTTTAAAATTTAGAGAGTGCTGGCCAGCAGAACTTAGGACCCGCACAGATCACAGTGGTGGTGGTGGGGTCAATTGGAAGGAAAAAAATGAATTTACAGCATAACTGGGCCTCTTTGTTTATTATATTTTCCATTCCCAGATTTTGTAAGGGGGGAAAGGAATTTTAAATTATTTAATTAATTTTTTGTTTTTTGGGTGGCTGGCTATCTGGGTATTAGATCATTCCAGACGCTGGATGTTCAGATTGCAGACTTTGTATACATATAAACACACATATATAATGGTTCAACTTTCAGATTAATCTTTTGGTCCATTGGTGAATTCTAAAACTGGGAGCATATACATGAGCAACAAGGATTTCATTTTGGTATAATTATATGTTCACTTTGCAGAAACAATGAGATAAAACAAATTTTATCTCACAGAATATATGGGATCAAAGAAAGCAAGACAAATTTATTTATTTATTCTATGAACTGCATTAAAATATATATATTGCAATAATTTGAGATTCAGTTATTTTATAAAACATAAAGATCAGTTAATAAGTATTGCACAATCATATGCATGTGTTTTGTTTGATAAGATACAGTAATGCAATTTCATGTGATGTATCTTTGAGTATTTAATCACATCAATATATCATTTAAATGCAACTTCCATTGACTGTACAGCATCTTTGCCAGTATTCTTGCCAGATTGAGAATGCATATTTGTAGAAATTGTCAATACAAAACTTTCTGACACACGCAAGTTCTCTGTTATTCAAAGCATCTTCTAATGATTGAGTGTGCTACAGCATGAAGTTTTTCTCATATGCAATGTACAACAGATCTTCCTTAAAAAGCTTTCAATGAAAGCATCTCTTCAAATAGGCAGATAACTCTAGGGATTTCTTACTATAATCAAATAATCCAATCCAATCTAATCCAGTCATCATAAAACCAATTTGCATATTCTCATTATCTGATGATTCTTACTGAAAAATTTGTAAAACCAGTGCTTGATACTAGTGCCAACAGAGAGAGAAATACCAAACAGATACCATTTCAGCATCATTTAAAAGAGTTCTATTTCTCCTCTATTCTAGTCTTTCAGATTTTCCATTACTGCATCATTATTACTGTCACTATCATTAAGCATTCCTTTGTGCTGTTTTCTAAATTTTGAAATATGAAATATATTATACTTGCACCTTAATTTCAACTGTATATTTATAATATCATTCTTCATTTCAATTTTAGGTTTTATTAGTTAATTGGCATGAATTAATAGTTTTCATCATATCCAAATATACAAATGAACATTATATCATATTTTAAAAGACGTTCCACTTATTCTGTTGCTCTGATTTACAGATAGGGCTCTAGAAGATACTGAGATTTTGTACAGTTCTACCTGTAAGATGCAATTAGCTTGGCGTACTATAGGCAACTAGTTGCATAGTTTGTGCAACTAACATTGCATGGGAAAATGGCTAATTGTTATGACTACCTATCAAAAGAATCTTGCAAAGAATATCTTTGTTCTTTAGCATGTATGAAAACAGACAATAATGTTTACTATAGAACAAATACACATCGTATTGGCATTCAGTTCGCAACTGAATGAATAGGCAGCGTATAAAACTCTGATAATACAGATATTACACATATCGTAATACATTTTCATTTTCATCATCAATATAATCGTAATACCTATTTGCTGATCGTAAACATCATACTTTACTGTTAAATATTAAAGCAGATTACAAGGCATAGATTTGATATGTATTATGAATTATTCCGCAATCATGATACTATTTTCGATAATAACAGATTTTGGTTTCTTGCTAAACAAATCAATAAAAATACTTACTTCCATTACTATTAACAGCAAACCATGTTCCCGTCAGAGATTTAACTGAAGCTGATTTATGAACAATTGTTTCATTTTTTCTCTCATCATTCAGTGAGAAAGAAAAGAAATTTAGAAAATGACAGATAAAAAATAAAAGCAACATTTGAAATAAATTTAATCACCAAATTACAATCTCACGTGATTTACATCCCCACTACTTGCAATACACGTTAACAATACAAATGAGCCGCAAAATTCCGCTACTGAATTTAACATCAAAAGCTTTATCAAAACGAAAATAAAACCTCCAGCAAAAAATATTGCTGCCAGATTCTACTCGAAAATACTATCTAGATTCTAATCGAAAAGCTTTTCGCTTTTAAAGTTGTAAATGTAAAGAAACAGTATTATAGGGCACTGTTCATCTAATTATTTATATATGCTTTTGTAATCATAAAATAAGTATCTTATGAGATTAAAATTCTGATGTCACATTAGTTCCTTTCAGGCGACATTTCAACACAGAAGTAATGCGTAAAATTTGGCAACATTGTGTAAGGATGGGGTCGTCATATTTAAAAACTGAAATTAATGTTTATAGGCCCGTTTTATCAACAAAAATCCAAGATCTTATCTCATGGAGGAAGAAATAGGGTCTGCCTTACCTTCATAGCTTTATTTTATCGTGTCTGGTATTAGTATCTATCATCCGTTGAGTATATTAAATTTTGTTTATTTCAAAAAATATGTCCTGCAGAAAAAATAATAATATTACTGATAAAGGAATCAAGTAAATCTTTCGTATTTCATGCGAAATGTTAATGAGTAAATAGCTATTCTTCTTCTTCTTCTTTTTTGTTAACTAGTAAGGAAATGGGGTTTTCATCCGCAGAGAACCCGTTGGCGCTTCGGGAAAGAACCTGTTGGCGCCGTTGTATTTTTACTCGCCAAGCTCACGATGAGCCGAGCCGTAAATGTGATATTTTGTAAACGTGATTTTAGTGCATGTAAATTCAGTTAGCAGACAAACAAGCATATGGTATAAAATTCACAGATATAACATGTGTAGATGTAAAATAACCGGTAAAACGTATATACGAAATAAATTTAATCAAATTCAAGTAGCACAAAAAGAAATTATTAAGCATAAGAACATATATAAGCATTGATAACGGAAATAAAATTCATTTTAAAATATAAATGTATAATGTATTGAAATTAACCGGTTAAACGTGAAAAAACGAAAAAAATTTGACTAATCCAATTAACACAGAAAACAAATTATTCCTTACCTCAGCAGTGGTTGCCTAATTTTTATGACCATGGTGAGCATCAAATATTCTGCATCTTAGATAAATCAATATATTTTTTTTATTTCAATTTAATAGCATTGACAATATATTATCTTGTAAAGTTTTACGCCATAAAATTGATTTATTTCATAATTTTAGATGACAATAACCAATAATTAAAAATAAAAGCATTATTAAAATGCACATGCATATTTTGCGGCCTACGGAAAACAAATTATTTTAGAGGTTGGAACCTATGGTTTCTTAGAGTGTTAATATTAAGAACACACAACGTGAAGCCGTGTTACAATAGCATTCACCCCTCCCGCCGTATTTTTTCTTCCTTCATCCCGAACAAGAACTGGCTCTATCTAAGAAAATATTTCTATTCGTTGTTAAAAATTTCAAAAAAATAAAATAATAATAGAGAAGATCTGTAAATGCAAATGCGAACAACGACAGTGATATTTCCAAAAATGAACGCAAAGAATGGTTGCAAACTTCGAAAAGCGAAACATAATCGGCGGGTTCCAGGTTGAACTATTATCGCCAAGTTGGCGATGTTTACATTTACCGGGTTCTCTGCGGAAGTGCTTCCAGGAAATGTTTATATTTATTAATTTCTAACCTGCTGTTGATCACTATATTAATATACAGTCAAAAATCTGTATACATCAGGCAAAAGTATACTATGTATTGATTATTTACAGTGGCGTAACTAGAATTCTTAGCCCCCTATTTTTTAAAATTTCTTGCCCCCCCCAATAAATTTACACAGTACTCACTCTCCTCCCCCAAATAAATCAATGTTACCAGGAGCCGACATTTTGATGATGATTTTTATCAGGTCTGGGTTAACAGTTAGAAAATCTAATCTGGACACCTCATGACTTCCTTGTTTGGCCTATTAACTAATACACATTTTTTACTGCTTTTCATTTGAGCTTATTTCCTCAAATTGTTCTAAGGAGGAGTGTCTAAGATTCCTCAAGGCAAATTGAAAATGACATAAAAAATTGCAAGTTTTGAATTAAATATCCCAGCCAGTTTTTGTCACATGAAAAGTTAAATTTCATTATATGTCGAAAACTATGTTTTTTTTTTTTTTTAAATTTTACATTCACAAAATATTTTTTGTCGTTTAACCCTTTCGCCCTCCTTTCCTGTTCGGAAAATTTCTCCCCATCGGCCCTTTGTTTTTCGCAGCGTGTAATGTTGTTTTCTCTGTTTATACATAACTGTCGTAGTAGATGAATGTAAATTAATTTTAATCAAAATTATAAGGAAATAAAGCATAATGGAAAAGTAACAATATCTCTGTTTATTTCTAACAGCAGGATTAATTTGATAACTGATCCAGGCGGTTCACTCCTCCCATTTTGTTGTTGTAATTTTTTATAATTATTGGGGTTTTTTTACAGTTCTTTTCCATGTTTCAATATCGATCATAGAATTGTTATGGACTGTACTCATCAAACATATATCCTTCTCGTCTTTACAATTCACAACCTCATTTTTTCTCTTTTTCTACTGAGTAGACGTTGAAGATCTCTCACTGTCTTGTATCTTATATAAAATGGTGCAAATATTCATAAAATCCCATGGGGAAATTCAATTTGAAATAGAATGCCTGATTAATACTGCCCTCTAGGAGGTATTAGAACAAACAAAAATAAAAACTCAAACAAGTAAAAATTTAGAAAGTATTTTAAAATATAGAAGAATGCTTGAAGTGCGTTACGGCTGCCCTGCAGAAGTTTCACTTGAACGCACTAGACGCGTTACAGACAACAAAGAGGTTAAAACACTTCTGTAATGCGAAGATATGATTATGACCAATGATTACGAAAATAAAGGTCGGATAAGGACTTCTAAGCCGGATGAGGAAGTATATATATTGTTATGAAATGTCCAGGCGTGGTAAGATGACTTCTCCGCAAAGCAGTTTTAAGGATGCCATAACATGGCAAAGGAAGGCAGGGTTGCCACATTTGGCGAGAAATCACCCATTTGGCAACAAAATTGGCGATATCCCATGGATGAATGGAGAACCGTCTGGAACAAATTCTTACCGGTTTAGCCCAGAATGTTCTTGAACACAAACTGAAAGCTGTATAAACCCTGCTGGTCTGTAGTCAGTGAGAGAGAGAGTCAGTGTGTGCCTCGCATAGAGTTCGAGATAGTTAGTATCGAGTTGGTGTCTCGTCTAGCGAGTCAATCCCTGGGGAGTCGATCAAGTTGACAGCCAGGCAGTGAGTGTTGAGTGGGTCGTCGAGTGCACCCGTAGTGTATCGCGGTTAGTGCAATGTCGAGAGAGCGTGTTGAGCTCTGGGAATGACTGAACCGAAGAGTCGGGAGCTGTGCTCTGTGTGTCGTCGAATGTATCATGAGTTGTAGCATGGAGAGTCTCGAGAGCACGTGGAGTTCCAAGAACGGCCGAGCAGAGTCGGGAGCTGTACTCTGGTGCTTTGCAGTGAAGCTGTCTCTACCATAATAGCCCGATAACCTGGAGGCTGTGTCGCTGATCGTGTCAGTGTGTTTATAGTAGTTCATCCATGACTGTAAAAACGTGTTTTGGAGCTGTCCTGACAATACTGGCCAATAAAGTGTGTTTTGATACTTCATCAAGTATCGTCTTTATTTGCTCCAAATCCACACCAACCCCGTACGAACGTGAAGGAAGAAAATAACGTAATAACTGGTGTCCGAAAAGAAAAGAAAAACGCAACAATATATATATTGTATACTGCCGATTGCAATAAAAAGAACAGTGCACAATTAGATATTATAGCAGTCCCCTATACAAAATTTCAAAGTTCTACGGCTAATCACTTTTTACTTATGCGATATATGTGTATATATATATACACACACACATCTACGCACAGTTATCACAAGAAAATTCTCGTTTGAGTCCATTTTAAACACATTTTGTAATCTAGTTATTTTTTTTGCACAGAAGTCGAACATATTATTCTGCATGTATCTGAGTCCTTTCTCTGTGTCCGTGAAAACCATTGCTCTTTTTTGCTAATACAGTTAAAAGTCTTTAATCTGGACGTCCATAATCCGGAATGATCTATAACCCGGACCTCAAAGCTACAAACTTTCTGCACATGTATGCGTTTACGCATGCACATTTAATGTATAACGGACGGTATAAGCTAAGCTAAAATTATCTAATTATCTATTTCAATTAATGTTGCAGATTGCATTGTTCCTTAATCTTCAAATTGGATCTGGCTTATAATTTTTTTTTTTTTTTTGCAGACTGTTAGAGCAATTTTATAAAAGTAAGCTTGAACTTTCGATTATGTCAAAAAGAATTTCCTATTCTGGAGCTGCCAAAGAATCTACAAAGTGAAAGCATGTTTCGATGTCCATTAAAGAAAAAGTGGAATTCCTGCAACAAATGGATAAAGGCATATCCTTTGTTTCTCTAACCATTCTGGAATCTGTTTATCAATTTCACGCTGCTCTGGTGGGAGGGGGGGGGGGAACGTAGTGGCACGGGATGAACTGGAAGTTGATCTGTCAGCACTGTCCTTATCTTCAGGGCAGATGTTTTTATTTTATTTGGCTTATAATTCCTTTCTAAATGTAGTATTTCATCTCGAAGTACTCCATCTTTGATATGATTTAAATCGAATTCCTCGTCATTATAAATGTTACGAATACACATCAAATAGTTTTCTGGTTGCAATTTTCTAATTTCGACTAAACTTTCTAATCGTATAATGTATGCTTTATGCATGCGCACGTTGAAATAAATGTTTAATAAAGTAAACAAATAAATATTAAGCTTTTTTTTTTTATTTTTTTTGTAAATTTTGATACCCTTTACATCATAATTGCTCTTTATTTAATAAATTACAGTTTCATATTTTTAATTTTATAATTTCTGCATGCCATCTACCAGATTTAAACTGATGATCTATGATCCGGAAAAACCAATAATCCGGAATCGCCGAAGTCCCGACGAGTCCGGATTAAAGACTTTTGACTGTATTAAAGTTATCTTGATTTAGTATGTAAAACTAATTGAAACTGATTTTATCTTTTACAGACATTTTCAATTTTCAATACAGCTTACGATATGATGAGAACGTCCCTTGCCCTTTTTTATTTATATGGGTAATATTTGCCAGAGCTGTATTCCTGTCGACCACATCATGTCCTTATTTGAAATTAACCAGCAATGGTTCGCAATTGTCTTTGTGAAGTTCAAATGAATAGGTCTGTACCTTTTGGTCTACAAAGGCCAAAATTTAAAATGAATCCCTTCTTATCTTTTGTAGAAATTTTTGGAGAATGACCAAAATTAAATGGTTATTTTAAATTTTTGCATCTCTAAAAGCGGTTGGAACATTTTTTGACCTTTCCTCAGCATTACGCCTGTAGTTGAAATATTTTCTGATAGTCTTCTTCAGTGACTTCAGTCGAAATAGTTTCTGGTACATTTAAAACTGTATTTGAACTGTCTGATGCTGCATTTAAATGCTGCTAATTTCTGATGACTGTTCCTGTGAGCTCAAACTTGATGTCTCATATTTTTCTTAACTAGAATTTCCAACGTGGAACTACAGATCAGCAGTTTTGATTTTATTCATTGCCCATTATAAAGCAGCGCAGAATTCGTTTTTCTTCTTTCTTTTTTCTGCCCTATTTAAAGCTTTCTTCTCCATATTAAAATATTATTTTAATGTTATAATATACAAATAAAAAGGCATATAAGTAAACATTTAACGAATCAAGAAGAAAATTTCCATAACTGGCACTTGGCGAAATTTCGGATTTGTTTACATCAGAAGAGAGCGTATGTGCGTCAGAATATGGTAAACCTGACAAGTGTTGCAAACCACACAGGTATATTGCTTTATTTTAAATTAAAACATAAAAGAATGAAATAATGAGTTAAGTAATTAATGTATTTGAAACGTTTAGCAATTAATTTTTAAAAGCTGGTAGTTTTAAAAAATTGAGACAAAATTCATGAAAAAGATGTATGGAGAATTGTAATGAGTGAACATCAGAGGGTAGAATACAATGAAATATTAAGAATGTATGGAAACGGGCTATCAAGATTTTGAAGAATCAAATTGTTTTTATTGATTGTTAAAGATGATTGATAGAAGCTATTTGCTGTAGCATTTTATTACCAATATTTGTTTTCTGTGAAAAGTAAAGATTGACACTTAAATGTTCTGAAAGATGTATTTAAATTTGGCTTTTTAGAGGCATGATTGTATAATTTTGTGATATATTTTCAGATCTGAAAATGATGTCAAATATTTCAATTGAATTATCTGATGGAGAAACTGAAAAAATGGATGGTACGAGTCCAGCTGAAGTATTAAGTTTAACATTTTTTGTACCAATTTGTTCCCTTCTTATCTCAATTGTTGCTTCAGCATGCAATTTTTCTACCAGGTATTTATAAAAATTTCATAAAATTTTTGAATGTCTTTTGAATGTCTGAAATTTGCTTTGTCTATTAACACAGTGTTTATGATTCTTTTAGGAATGTGAATAAACAATTCAGTTTTGGCTTTATGCCTTTGCTACTTTTTATAGTTATGCATCTAGTAACTATAAATTTATCTAAATTTTTCTGAGTGAGTTTTTTCATAGTTTATCCCATATGTGATGCAAATATATAATCTAGATTTTACTGAGAATTCTCCATGAAAGCCAACCCCCCCATTTGCAGATCACTGTTATGTGCTTTGCTATATTTAAGCAAAGTATCAAAAATAGTTCAGGTCTGCGTAAGCTTTTTTATATATGCATTATATACTTTATACGATACATTATTATTAATTATCATATAGTTGTTGATAGTATTTTAAGTACTCTTATCCAGTAGATGCTGAAAGGTTTTTAACTGTCACTGTATCTATCACTTCCTTTTTGTGCATATATAATATGGGTTGATCTTTACATTATGGTAACTTCGCGTTTTTTTGGCGAAAATTTGGCGACCAACTCTCCTACAGCAACCCTCTATTTTTTTCCCCCCGCCGCCATTTTGTCTTCACGAAGTAAAGACATGTTTCTTTTCTTTTTATCTACTGAACACTTCTTCCAACAATCTAGTAGCCGAATTACACTTATGCTAGAAATTTTATCAAACAAAACTGCTTAATCATGACAAATATTCACTGCAAAATTGGGAAAAAGTGCACAATACCATACTCCTTACGCGTTTTTCAAAATAACACATACACATAAACCATGTACACACGGCGACTTATTTTTACTTAAAAAAACATCCCAGAATTGCACAAAAATGGCATTGCGCACACTCTTCACTATATCCATGTACACTGCTTTTTTCTCATAAATTAGAAAAATTTCACGAAAATACATGACAATTTTCTCAATCTTTAAACCCAGTAAAAAGAACATATATGAAATTACCTGATCGCGAAAAAGTATTTACCCTTTACAAATATGAACATTTCCACATATAAAATAAATAAAATATCCAAAAACTTTTACCTCTAAATCATCTATTACATTATACACGTCACCAACGAATTCATACCGCAAGCATTACAAATACTTAGTATCAAATATTTAAATTATTTCCATGCACATTTATTTCAACTTAAACGTATACCAAATTCCTACAAACATAAAATTCACAAAATAACTATCATTTAATTAAAATATCACTAAACCATGTACACGTCGACTTATTTTTACTTAAAAAAACATCCCACAATTGCACAAAAATGGCATTGCGCACACTCTTCACTATATCCATGTACATTGCTTTTTTCTCATAAATTAGAAAAATTTCACAAAAATACATGACAATTTTCTCAATCTTTAAACCCGGTAAAAAGAACATATATGAAATTACCTGATCGCGAAAAAGTATTTACCCTTTACAAATATGAACATTTCCACATATAAAATAAATAAAATATCCAAAAACTTTTACCTCTAAATCATCTATTACATTATACACGTCACCAACGAATTCATACCGCAAGCATTACAAATACTTAATATCAAATATTTAAATTATTTCCATGCACGTTTATTTCAACTTAAACATATACCAAATTCCTACAAACATAAAATTCACAAAATAACTATCATTTCATTAAAATATAATTAAATTCAAAAACACTACTTAAAATATAAATGAGCACATACATTAAATTAATAAAAATTACCTTACAATCCTAATTACTTTAAACTAAATCATTGCTAATAACAATTTTCCCAATAATACAAAATTCCTTTCCACCGTACATTTAGAACAATGCATAAAAATAATATCCTCAAATAATTAAAAATACTAACTTACCTAATCTTCTTCAGAATCTTGATTACGTGTCCGATAAACTTTTCTTTAGTTACGGCCATGGGATCCAAAAATTCACGAACACTGTTTCACACAACACAGAATAAATCAAATACAAAATTTCCAGATTTTTTTCCCGATTTCCCCCCTTTTCCGATTCAAGAACCGTAATTCGTCCATTAATATCACATGACATATCCCATGATCTCTCATTTCCCTCACACAAAATAATGTGTAATCGGAACTGAGTACTGCTCACATTATTACCAAAGTCCCAGGTAGTAACCTTTATCGCCTCCAAAATGTCGCCAAACTACCAGTTACCATATTGTAAAGAACAACCATAATATGTTTTTTTTACAATTATTTATTAATTGATAATGTATGTTTGAAATCTGTTTCAGTGTTACAGGTGCTATTGAAATGTTTACTGTTAATCTTATATTACTTCTGGCTCTGACATGTCTAAGTGAGCATCTGTGGTTTCTTATTTCCATCCTCACACTTCTGCTGCTGATTGCAGTTTTCAGCTGCATTGACAGAAAATTTAGTTTGAATCAGATTTTTTTCCTGTGGAGGTAAGTTTACATATATGTAAAACTTTTTTTTAAAAAAATAGTTTCTTGATTGTTTATAGACTTAGCCCTGTATCTGTGATGTATCACAGTCAAAAAATGTTTTAAAAATTGAAGAGATTTTTTAAGTTGTAGAGCACTAAGTGAAAAGGAATCATAGTGCAGAGAAATGCAACAACCTTAAATACTCTTAGTACTGCATTACTATAGCAGTCCTAAATGCAGGAACGAATATGCGTGCTGATTCTTTTTCTTTGCTTATTCTGTTAAAGACTGCTTAGTTTCTATGAAAATTCTCTAAAATTTAAAACTACGGGGCAGTTTATTTGAAACACCTAGCAGTTTATTTGAATTAGATATCCAAAACACATTACATCTGTTTATACCTTCAGTTAAAACATAAATTATGATTAAAATTCTTATTCAGTGTCTCCTCAATTTTTATACTTTAACAGTGACCCTAATTAAAAAAGAAAAATGTTACTTGCACATTCTCCCCCCCCCAAATAAAAAGTATTTACACAGCATTACACAGTATGGGAGGCATACTCATTGATGTCTGCTGATTCCGCAAATGCCCAGAGGTCCGACGCCAGCATAGCTCAGCTTGCAGAGTAGCAGAGACAAGCACTGGACCTGCTGTGAACAAGACATGTTTCCACGAGCAGTGCTGATGATCCAGCAGACAAGTTTCCTATAAGCCAAGCTGATGATGCTTATCTATAGCTAGCCATGGGTGAGGGTAGATGTGCTCTCTTAGGGTTTATAACAAGGACTATTTCCAGTTATGCGTTTGTAATTGATATTCCTGTGAGAGACTGATAGTCAACTTAACTGAATTGTGGGATTATCTTTATTTAAACCAATTTCATCTATCACCAGTTATATGTTTCATCTCATCTTTTATCATACTTTCATTCATATTAGTAATTTCATAATAAAGTAGTTTAGTTTAACTCATGCTCTGTGTGTGTTTCTATTGTTACGTTTTTTTTTTTTTTTCCTGACACCACTTGTTACATTATTTTCTTCCTTCACGTTCATACGGGGTTCGTAGATTGGAGTGAATAACGACAACACTTGATGAAGTATCGAAACACACTTTTATTTAGACAATAGTAATCAGGACAGCTCCAAAACACGTTTACAGTCGTCGATGAGGTACTATAAACACGCTAACACAATCAGCGATACAGCCTCCAGGTTATCAGGCTATCAAGGTGGAGACAGCTTCACGACAAAGCACTAAAGTTCAGCTCCCGACTCTGCTTAGTCGTTCTCGTAACTCCACATACTCTCGAGACTCTACAACTCGCAATGCACTCGACGACACACAGAGCACAGCTCCCGATTCTTCGGTTCAGTTGTTCTTGGAGCTCAACACGTTCTCTTGACGATGCACTAACCGCGATACACTAAGAGATTCTTTCGGTGCACTCAACGACCCACTTGACACTCGCTGCCCCACTGTCAACTCAATCGGCTCTGCAAGGATTGACTTGCTAGACGAGACACCAACTCGATATTAACTAGATGAAGCACACTATCTCGCACTCTAGATGAGGCACTCCGACTCGCCTTCTCGACGAGGCACACTCTCGATGCTATACTAACTGACTGCGAACCAGTTGGGTTTATGTAGCTTTTGGCTTGTGTTCGAGAACATTCGGGTCTAAACCGGTACGAATTCGTTCTAGAAGGTTCTCCATCCGTCTATGGCACAATGCCAATTTTGCCGCCAAATATCGCCAAACGGGCGATTTCTCGCCAAATGTGGCAACCATGCCTTCCCTGGGCATTTTATGGCAACCCTAAAACTGCTTTATGGGGAAGTACATTTCATAACAATATGTGTAACCTCATATATATATATATATATATAAACTTAAAGTGTCTAAAGTTAAAAGTAAATTAGAGCCAAAGCAAGATGATTTCTTCAACAATATTAATAATTGCATCCTTGTAAAGGGGTTAAACATAATCAATACATTTCAAAAATAGAAATGATCATAGTAGTATAAACTCGAAAACTAAAAATGCAAAAAGGGGAAATATATACAAGATATAAAAATATAAAAAGTAATCTCCCTTTATTAAAACTTTAATTCAGAACTCATCAGTGGAAAATGAATTAAAGCTTCATAAAAGTTGATCGTTAGAGTAGACTGAAGGGTACCCCTTGCATAATCGCAAAGTTGTTGTCTCATTTATCGCCAAGTCAAGAGAGTGCACAGTGCCAAATTTGTACAATTCTCTGATGTTTTTTTAAGTGAAAATAGGTCAATGTGTACATGGATGCCAAGGTCAACGTGTACATGAAGTCAAGGGAGTGCGCAATGTCTAGTTTGTGAAATTCTGTGATTTTTTTTTAAGCAAAAATAGGTCAGTATATACATGGATAGTGAGTTTGTGCAATTCTTTGACTTGTTATTTTGTCTTTGTGGTTACACAAAGCCAGGTATCAGAAACTCGGTATCCATGTACCACCAAAAATTGCCAATTTACCCTTGCCGAAATAATACTTTTACTATCGTAAATATACTTTTACCAAGTTAATTAAAATTCGAAAATGCATTTTGTTCTCTTCGTAAATTTGAGGTCAAAAACCAGAAAAAGAAACAAATTGTATATATGTACAGTCAAAAGTCTTTAATCCAGACTCGTCGGAACTTCGGCAATTCCAGATTATCGGTTTTTCTGGATTATAGATCATCAATTTAAATCTGTTAAGATGGCATGTAGAAATTATAAAATTAAAAATATGAAACCGTAATTTATAAAATAAAGAGCAATTATGATCTAAAGGGTATCAAAATTGACAAAAAAAAAAAAAAAAAAAAAAAAAAGCTTAATATTTATGTGTTTACTTTATTAAACATTTCTTTCAACGTGCGCATGCGTAAAGCATACATTATGCATAGTTGAAATTAGAGAATTGCAACCAGAAAACTGTTTGATGTGTATTCGTGATATTTATAATGATGAGGAATTTGATTTATATCATATCAAAGACGGAGTACATCGAGATGAAATACTACATTTAGTAAGGAATTATAAGCTGAATAAAATAAAAACATCTGCCCTGAAGATAAGGATAGTGCTGACAGATCAACTTCCAGTTCATTCCGTGCCACGACGTTCCACCCCCCTCCCAGCAGAGCAGTGTGAAATTGATAAACAGATTCCAGAATGGTTAGAGAAACAAAGGATATGCCTTTATCCATTTTTTGCAGCAATTCCACTTTTTGTTTGATGGACAGAATTCGAAAAAGATTTATTGCCTGATGAGGCAAACCATCTGAAATTTCAAGTGACTGTGGGACTAACTTCAAAGGTGCTAGTAAGGAACTGAGAGAGATTTATAAAAATGCAGCTTTCATCAAGAAAAGCAATGAAGTATGTAACTACATTACCTCAGAAGGTATAACTTGGTTATTAAATCCTCTGACATTTCCTCACTTCGGTGGCTTGTGGGAATCTAATGTGAGGTCCATGAAATTTAATCTTAACCGTGTATTAGGATCCACACTTCTAACTTACGAGGAATTTTTAACAGTGCTTACACAAGTGAAAGTGTTTATGAATTCCTGTACCCTATGTGCAATGTCTAGTGATCCAAATGACTTTAGTGCATTGACTCCATGTCATTTTCTAATTGGAGCCCCTTTGTTTGCCATTCCTGAATCTGACTTGAGTGATGTTAAATATTCAAGACTTAAACAAAAATGTTGCCTAGTTCAGCAGACTAGGCAACATTTTTGGAAATGATGGTGTGCTGAGTATCTAACAACCCTTCAACAACATGCTAAGTGGTTGCGTGCATCTCAAAATCTAAAATGTGGTGACTTAGTTCTGATCAAAAATGAACAACTGCCTCCAAACCAATGGAAAATTGGAAGAATTGCCTTAATTCATCCAGGCAATGACAAAAAAGTTCAAGTGGCTATAGTCCATATAGCCGCTGGTGATTTCAAACGAGCTGTTACAAAATTGTGTCTTATCCCTAATCATGACTAATATGAACTATGAACTATTGACTTTTCTCATATCATTAAACTTTTAATTTTAGTTTAATTTTCAGCTAATATTTTGTTAATGTTATTATGTGTGATTTAACTATTTGTCTTTTTTGAACCCTTAGAAGGTTTCAAGGCCAGGGGCTATGTTTAGTATTTTTTGTTACCAAACAAATTTCTAGTGTGTCTTTGCAACAATAGATGTCACTACTGCCTCATGATTCAATTATCGTTGCCATTATTTGGTAATGAACTTGTAAAGTCTGTGATTTATGTGTTCTTTTCTATTATTGCTACAATGCTTTGAGTGATGTGTGCATCAAAAATGCGGTGTCGTCAAATGGATGGCATTTCTTCTATTTTAAAATGTGTGTGTAAATAGATAAGTGATACAGTCCGCTTTCTGTGATCTTATTTATAAGCATATACTATATATTATCATCCATTCCCACACAATATGATGAGCAGGAGCTTATTCAAGAGGAAATGAAGCAGTGGATGTTATCAACCATTTGTGGAAAATCTAGCCCATTACGGATGAGTTAAACAAAAATTTTAAAAGGTATTATCATCCAACAGAATTAATTTGTGTCGACGAAACAATGATTCCATTATATGGATGAATCATATTTTAACAGTACATGAAGTTAGAGACACAGATATGGAATAAAATTTTTCAAACTCAGCTGCTGTCTTGGATATACATGCAGCTTTCATGTTTTATGATTGCAAAACTTTTGATGAAGTTAATATGACATCAGCGAATTTAGCTATGAATTTTTGCCAAGCTATATACCACAAAGACCATACATTCTGCCCAGATAACTGGTACACTAGTATAAATTTTGTGAAATACCCATTTGATTGGTACTCTCAGAAATAACCACAAAGATATCCAAAATAAAGGGTGTCCAAAAAACTTTAATGGGAAGAATGTGCATGTACAAGAGAGTAAAGAAGGGGTGTGGAAAGAAAAGCATGACATTCTGTTACTTTTTACCAAATATTCGATAGAAATGGAAACTGTTCAAGCAAAGGTTAAAATTATAAATAAGCTAGTTAGTAGCCAAAAATAGTTACTAGCCAAAAATAGTCTATGCAGTAGTAGTAAAATAATGCAGGAAAAAAGTCTATTGACTTCTCAGGTCAAATGGCTCCACATAATAACCTGTGACTTATGACTAAAACTAAGATCTTATGACTGTAATGTCACATTTATCCATTATTGGCTCTAAATCATGCTGTTTGGCCACAGTTTTGTTTCTCAATAATGATAATAATAAATAAATAAATAAAAACATTAGTAGCAAAAAATATGTAAAATATCAAAAGTTCATGTTCATAAAAAAAAATCTATTTTTATTTTTGGAATAAGTTTTAATTCCAACGTTTAATATGCCCTTTTGCTTCTTTTTATGTTAGCAGAATAATTGATGGCGTTTTAGAAGTTTGTTTCATTACTTCAGTTATTATTCTGGGGACAGAAAAGTAAGGTTTCTTAAAAGTCTAGAGGAGAATGTCTCTTTCGTAAAACACAGAAAGTGTGTCTTAAGTTTTTTTTTCTAACTGATTTATATTATTTAAGAAAATTTGCCTCACAAAAAGTAATACAGCAGTTACAAGACAAATTTTGCATTAATTAAACAGTTGAAATTGCATTCTGGAGACAATATTTTGGAATAAACTGTGAAAATAGAGAACATTTCACTTCTTTGTTTTGTGTCTCACTGTCAGAACAGTTGTAGAAATAAAACTTTATTTATCTCTCTGAGGAATTTTTCCTTATTTGTGCTACTGTGGTCATAATTTAGTTGTCATTTGTACTCCTGATATTTTCTGATTATCAGCACCTCCACCAAAATGTTGCAAAAATGTATTGATATGGCAACATACAATATTACCCAAAAGTATTTATGTGACAACCTGGGTATGCACATAGCACATATGAGTTTCATTACACATGAATTTGCACTTATGAAATTAACAGGTAATTTTTCAGATTAGTATTTCCCTTTGCATTGAGAACATTTTTTTTGTGTTTTTTTTTTTTTTTTTTTTTTTTTTTTTTTTTTTTTTTTTTTTGTCAGAATGAATTGTAATGGCACTGTGGGTTTTGCCAGCAGATGCAAAAAGGAAGTATTGAATTTTTTGGAATTATGACAATAAAGCCTAACAATAAAGAATACAAAAAATTCTATTCTGTGAAGTTGCACTTCTGAGACAACCAAATTTTATGCAAATGCAATGTGATAAATTGCAAATAAAATATTAGAATGCAGGTTGGAAACTGGTTTAAAGTTTGGGCAAAGGAATATACATTGGTGAAATTCTGTAAAAAACTGGAATTATCCCCGAAACATAACTATTGATTAGTATAACCTCTGAAAAATATAGTCTATGAAAAGAAGAAAAATCTTTTTAAAAAAATCAGCACTGAATGCATTATTGAAATAAATGTAAAGATACCCAAACAAACATTTCTTTCCAAATTTGGCAAGAAATTTGCAAGTTTTCAGTGGGGGTACAGATTGATTGAAAGCACCGTATTTTTCATTCGAAAGTTTCAATGAAGTAAGGAATGCTTAGCAATAGCATAAAGCTATTGAAATTCTCATTATGATTTCTTTGAATACTATGTCCAGTGTAAAAATAACTTTCCCCTCAATTCAGTTTGACTCTGCAGCATCTTGTGATTTTTCACTTCGCCAAGTGAGTGAATATATAACACTGATGAATACTGGTAGTTTGATCTGAGATAAAATCCAAAAGAAAAAGCTGGCTCATGAATATTTTCATGGTTTACCTTATGTGTAACATGAATATGAGCTATTGTTCCTTTTATGAGACATGAAAAAAGCCCCCTTCTTCTAGTTATACCACTACCCATCAGTAAATTAATGGTAAAAAATATAAAATATTGGTAATTTGCATAGGTTCTATTCATGGTAATTGAACAGTCTAATGTGAAGTTTTCAAGATTTCCTCATATATAATTTTGATATGGGCAAGTTTCCTTTAGAAATTCCTAAATGAAAGCATCTCTACCTATAGAACAGATAGCTTTAGTGTACTTTGCTATAATTAAATCTAATTTATTCTATGAATTAGATATAATTGTTTGATATAACCAATATTTACTGTATGACTTACAGGAACATAAATGAAATTTTACCCGAGAAGGATTTCAGTCGAAATTTTGTGGGAGATTATCGTGGTCATCTTCTTCTGGCAACTTCTATTTGTATCCTTGCTGTGGATTTCACATTCTTTCCAGGTCGATTTGCCAAAACTGAAACTTACGGTTGGTCAATTATGGATGCTGGAGTAGGATCATTTGTTCTTGTTCATGGTCTTTGTTCACCTCATGCTTGGGAAAGGCCATCTAAACTAAAAAAGTAAGATAGCACAAGTAACAAAGTATTGACTTGCCTTCTATTTTTTATCAGTGAATTAATAATTTTTTTCATTAAGACTATGTATTTTTTTAATATGTGTGTGTATGTATATATATATATATATAAGTAATTGATTCTCTCCATTTTTGATGATTTCTGCTGTTTAAAGTTTCAAACTTAATACTCGAGTTAGAATTTTAATGTAAAAGTGTTATGTTTGTAGGAAGGATAAACATAAAACTAGGTTAATTATGTATTGAGATTGTTGTATATTGATTATACTGAGAATTTTCAGTAAACATTTATTAGTTTTGATGTATTTCAAGCGAGCTGATTTTCGTGGAGTTTTAAAGAATATATTAATTTAACCATGATTCCTACAGAAATGTATCTTGGCTTTGGTGGAATTAAACTGTTTTTTTTTTTTTTTTGCAATACCTCAATAAAATTGATGAAAATACATCAGTGGATTTCTTTACATACTTATAGGGTAACTATAATTAATGTTTTAAACACAAATAGTTATTTCTTAAATATTATATCAATGCCCTTTCTTCTGGATTATCATCCTTTACCCTAATTATCAAAATAATTTAGCATTTCTTTAAAGTGTAGCTGTGGTATTTTGCTTCTCTTCTATTGCATTGCTTTTTATAGTCCATCCAGAGTTTTAGGAAAGCTTGCTTTTTAATAATCGAAAAGCAGATGAAACATCAGTGGACATTGAGGAAATATAAGTAAAAGGTGTAGATTTGATGACCGTCTCTTTTGTTGTATTTTCGAGTAATTCAGTGCTTAATGTAGATGAATAGTAATTGTATTGTAATTGATTTCTTTTCTTTATCAGCTCTAAAAGAAGATAGACAGAATTTTTGTGTAAATATACGAGTTAAAACATTACTTATGGTACATATTTTGCAAGTTTTCTTAAATGTTTCCAGTTGTTTAAGCAACTTGCATAAAATCATTTTTTGAAACATTCTGTAGATTCTTAAAGCCAAGTTTATAGATCTTTTTCTCCATTTGTATTAGTAATTGGAATTTTTTTTCATTCTTAGATAAAGTCATGCTCTATCAAAAATCATAGCATATTATCAAAAAATGCTGTATCAAAAAACATAGCATTTATGCTCATTTAATGAATTTGATAAAAATTTCTGCAATGCAGAATCTTATGTAAGACTTTTTAGGGGTGCATATGGATCTGATTTATGTGTTTAAGGACAATAATGCACATCCATATCAAGCAAACCTTATTGACGAATTCCTTTAACATGAAGATATCGAGCGAACATTGTGGCCAGCAAAATCTCCTGTTCTCAGCAGGATAGAAAACTTGCAGAACTACCTTGGAAAAGCAGTTGCACAGTGAGATCCTCCTCCTAGATTTATAAATGCCCTGAAAATTATAATGGAAAAGTGGAACTTAATTCTTCAAAATATGGTGAACAGTGCTATTTTCAGCATAAAACTCATTGTGATATGTGTATATAAGTCAGGGAAGATGGCATTCCATATTAAATTCGTAAACCTTATATTTTTGAGTTATTCTTTTTTCACATCTCTAAATGTGCCTAAAACATGTAACATAAAATTATCATTTTTATTGTTTTATGCTAGAGTTTTATATTGTATGCAGTGTTATTATTTTTTCCCCTTTGTATTTACATGTTATGACATCAACAGAAATTCATAAAATTATTGCTCACAGTTTCTGAGAAATCTGTAATTTCATGCATGTAAAGATAATTTTGGACATGAGTATACATAGAACTAACCTTCTGTTGAAAAAGTTCATGGAAACGCCATGTCACACATGTAAAAACTTGCAACATTTGAATTAAGCTTTAATATTCTAGGGAAAATGTATGAAATGACATCAATCAGAATAGTACAGTTGATTAAATTAAACCAGAGTTAAAATCCAGAGTTAAATCTTTTGACAGTTCAGAGCTATGTCATTGTTTACTATAATTTACCTAGTTTAATCGTCATTCTGAGCAAAGATCATTTGAGATAAGAAAGTGGGGTTGATCAGAAATAGATCTCTATAATACTCCAACCATTTTATTTGTCAGATTTTTCATCCTGTTTATTCTCTTTTATTAGCATGGTTATATGGCATGAAAATTTTTATATCTGCCATAGATTAACCACTTTAAGCTATCCAAAGCAATGAAGTGGTTAATCTGTGGCAGATATTAAAAAAAAGCTTCCGTGAATGACAGATATTCTTATGTTCTGTTGATTATTAATTTAAAGTTGGCTAAGAAATAATTTTTTACATTTCAAGTGGAACTTCCTTAGAAACATACTTTGCGGAATTTTTGAATATGCTTAGACAAAAGCAATGAACATTATGCGTGATATATAAATAAATCACTATTATTTTGTTTTCTGTGAATACAGTGCTTGTAGACATTCAAATAACGTATTTAGTGGCTTTTGAGCCTGAAGATTTTATTTTTGAAACAGTTCTAAAGTACATACCTTCTATGGATGTTCATATTTTTTCAAGTAAAAGTAGTATTTAATGATTTTCCTTTCATTATTAATAAGGCTTTTTTCATTTAAAACTAATTTCAGGTATTTTTTATTACCTTCTAATATGAAAATAAGAACATTTCTTACAGGAAAGAATAAATTTATAAATATAAAACTGCACCATTTTTAAAACAGATAGTATTTAATCATAACATACAATAAAATAGTATCAAAATGATGTGCTGGCTACATTAACTGCTGGTTATTATTAATAATAATTCTTTTCTCTTTCATGATTAATTCACAAAGTCCTTATATCATTTGGAACATATTCTTTTAAGATACTATCTGCATTATAAAAATATTAAGCTATATTTATACGATCCTTTAATCTTCTCTTTTTCTAGTTTTAAAAAGAATTTAATCACTTCATTTCCTTTACTATTATTGGGAATTGCCAGACTAGTTTTAACTACAGCTGTAAACTACCATAAAGCAGCATCTGAATACGGAATACATTGGAACTTCTTTTTTACTCTGGCTTTCACAAAGGTATTTGTATATTTTATATTGTTGGTTTCTGCTAATCTATTAATTTAGTTTATAAGCAAATTAAGATCTAGTTTATTGCTTTTGGCTCTTTAAATAAAATTGAGTTTAATTAATATAATATGAATGTGTGTGGGGATTATTAGTTTTTATTTCAATGAAAAGGTAAAGAGAGAAAATTAAAGATTGCAGTCATTAAATATTTTGATAATTTTTCTATAAATGTCTCTATAAAACTTATATAATGAATCAGTGTTAATTTTAGATTAGTAATTACCTATTGAAGTCAGATTATATAGTTATTTATGTGTACAGCCTCAAATTTACTTCTGTGAAAATATATTATCTGTAAATTTTTTAACTGTAATAGTAAATTAATAATAATAAATAATAATTAAAGAACTTTTAAACACTAAAAAAAGAGAGTGAAAAACTAATTTAAGTTTATTCTTTGTATGCACTTGAAAAATGAAACTCAAGTATAAACTACTTCTCTAAATTTTTGTAAAAATTTATCAGAAAATGTTGTATTGATAAATACATGGTTAAATTAACACTCATTTTTAATATTATTTTATTATATTCATTATAGTATTATACTCATTTTTAATATAGTTGATTTTGTATGTATCTTTCAGTAGTACTAGTTTATGCATCATTCTCTCCTATATTAAAATCAATAATTAATAGCAGTTGAATTAAGATGTAATATTACAAAATTCCCTTTATTTTGCTTGAAATAAATACGTAAGGTAATGCAAGTTTAGTATTTAACATAGATTTGTAATTTATTTGATAGTATAAAACTGTAAATATTATTTTGGCTGTTTTGCTGTTTTAAAGTTTAAATTTCCATTCCGAAGAACTAATAGTTCACAGAGGAGTGAAAGTTGTAATAAAATAAAATGAGTTCAAAGTAATGTTAGCTATACCTTACAAGAAGGTATTTATTGCGATGAGAAATTTTGGGTCAATTTCATATTTCAGAGTTTAATTTCTTACTAAATTTTCAGATCATATGCTATAACATCCTAACTCTCTGTCCTGCTCATAGTTCTGGATTCTTAGCAGTTGTGACTATTGTTCTGCATCAGTTATTGCTCTCACAAATGGATTTGACATTGTTTGTACTCTCTGATGCTCGGGATACTTTTATCAGGGCAAATAAAGAAGGAATTGTTTCACTTCTTGGCTTTATATCTCTCTACTTTTTTGGTGTACAGCTTGGATCTCTTCTGTGGAGAAGCCGGTAAGTAATTCTATAGTGAAAGGTTGCATTTAGTATCATTAGCGAATTCAACAATTTAAGCATGCACATTTTCAATTAGCAAATTTTTCAATTTCTTATATATTTGTTACAATTGCATTTGGATCCGTTATGAATTTTTGAAGAATATTTAATTTTTTTAAAGAATTCTAGCTCTACAAAAGTGTGCAAGTCCGAAACTTGAGGATGAGGGATTTTTTGCATGTACAGAGAAATTCTGTTTGAATGGAGACAAGTAGAGAAAGCTTTTTATTTTCTCCTACATAACAAAGACAATAACAAAGACCTTTTTGATGTAACAAATCACAGCAACAGTAAGAACTCTTTTGCAGAAAAATATCACATAGGAATTGGGTTAAGTGAAAGATGGAGGAAGAATTCTTAACAATGCCCAGGCAGTATGACTGACCTTTATGTTTGTTTCATATAGAACATACGGAATCAATATTTAGTCAGAGTAAAATAATGAATTGATTTAAACAATAACTGTACATCTTTAGATGTTAGACATTTTCAAGTCCTGAGATGAAACAGAAGACTGGTTTCGTCAACACTGAAAATGTCGTTAGCTGATATCCATATACAGAGTCGCGATAAAAAACATTCCAAACCACAAACCAAAACATTATGACCATCCACACATTTTTCAATGAATTCATCTGGATGATGTGGAGGGCACACATTTAAGTGGGAATGGTATTTAACTGCTGCTTGGAGAAGGTAAGGAATAATTTTTGCAGTTACACTGGTTATCATAAATTAAGGAAAAATCACAAAAATCACAATTACTCAAAAAGTTACACGTAGAATTTTATGAAACTTACCCACAATATACAACACATAGTAAGATATATCAAATAACATAAAAAGAAGTTACCAGACAATTATGGTAGTATAGAAATTAGCACATGTATAAAATGAACAAATCGAAGATATCAGTTTGCTATAGTAAAAGTACCTTTAATATGGAATATAATCGCCTCTAGAAGCAATACAGCACATTCAGCGATGTGTGATGCTTTCAATTATGCGGTCTATCAGTTTCATATGAAGTGACAGCCATTGCTCTTGCAAAGCAGTTGCAAGTGCGGCAAGGGTCTAAGGGGGCGGATTGAGAGCAGGTAGTTGTCTCCCTAAAGCATCCCAAACGTGCTCGATAGGATTTAAATCCAGGAATCGAGCTGGCCACTCCATGTGCATAATTGTTTCCTGTTGAAGATAATCATATACGATGCGAGCCCTGTGTGGTCTTGCATTGTCGTCCTGTAACAGGAAAGCATTACCTATTGCCCCGGCATATGGGCGCACATAAGCATCAAGGATGTCATCTCTGTAAATATGAGCATTCACGGTTCCCCTTGGAAAAACATGGAGGTCTGTGTGTCCACCCAAAGAGATGCCACCTCAAACACAGCCACTGCCTCTTCCGTATGCATCTCTTTCACAGATGTCTGATGGATGATAACGGGTTCCAGGTTCTCTCCATATCAAATAACACCTACTATCGCGTTCTAGACTAAACCTGGACTCATCCATAAAAAGAACAGCTCTCCATTGCTCAGGCGTCCAGTGGACATGTTATCGTGCCCACTGCAAATGGTCCCTCCTATGACGTGACTTGAGCGGCATGCAAATGGTTGTTCACCTTGCATATTGCATACAGACCACCTTCATGAAGGCTTTCTATGCACAGTTGACGTTGACACCAACCTTCCGGTGGCTGCAGCAAGTGAGGATCTAAGAAGAGTCGGAGTAGCGGTTCTATTCTTGAGTGCTCATAATGTCAAATATTGGTCATCGGCGCTCGTCATAGCAGTTGGCTGTCCTTGGCTGAACCTCGGTGCCGAATCTGTGATTTGAAATTGCCTCCAAATTCTGTGAACTACAGAAGGAGTCACATTTAGCCATCTGGCCACTTCTGTTTGACTTTGTCCTGCCTCTAGTTTCCCAATGGCATTTTATCGTAGTTCTGTAGGCAAATGATGCCTGGAGAACATTGTTACGAATTGGCTATCTCAGATTTCTGATGTCACTATCACAGTGAAATATGTGGGCTTGCTCTCAAACATGGACTTTTATGCTCCTTGCAGATGACGTATTCCAAGTGCAGTGCACTAATTTGCATATTGGAGTTTTACTCAGCTACTCTTACTTGGCAACATATTCAAATTTTACACGGTTTGGCTCATTTTTGAGGGAATTATCGCTATTTTTGCGATTTTTCCTTAATTTATTATAACCAATGTACTTATGTGAGTGATGGGAAAGACAGCTGATATATGTGAATTTGATACAGGACATATTGTAATGGCCTGAAGACTCAGAACGAGTATCTCGAAACTGTACAACTGGTAGATTTTTAATGATTTGCTATTGTTAGTGTTTATGAAAAGTGGATAAATAATGATAAAACCAGCAGTAGATGCCAAGCTGTTGGACATCCGTGTGTCACCAAAGAAAAGGATGTTGGAGACCGTACTGCTTGGAACACCAAAGTCAGCGTCACACGGTGGCTCAGCTGACAGCTTATTACAATGTAGGTCTAAATGCAAGTGTTTTTGAACACACAGTTCAGCAAACATTGTTCAAAACGGGATTGCACAGCAGATATTCTACTTATGTCCCTCTGTTGACCAAGCATCATTGTCAACTATGCCTACAGTGGGAACATCAAGTCTGAACCATGAATAAGTGGAAGACAGATGCCTGGTCAGATGAGTCATGATTTCTCATTCATCATGTCAATAATTGTGTCAGGGTATGCTGTCTTTCAGTCAAACAGTTGCTCCTCTCCCTACGGCAGGTCATACACAGACTGCTGGTGGCAGTATTATGCTTTGGAAAACATTCTTATGGGTGGCTCTGGGATGCTTAGTTGTGGTAGAAAGACTATGAAAGCTGCGGACTATCTGAACATAACTGCAGATCAGTTGCACCTTTACACTGCATCTTTCTTCCTAACTGGAAATGGAATTTTCAAGCAGGAAAAATGTGTCATGTTACAAGGCTTGAATTGTGTTGAAGTAGTTCAAGGAACATAAGGATTAATTCCAATTAATGTGCTGGCCATCTAACTCGCATCTAACACGATTGTATTATATCTTGTCTTATTATATTAAGTTGATTTAAATTAAAAACTCTATTTAGTTTAATAACTATTTTATATAAAATAATATATAAAATATTTTTGTGTACAGTTTTATACAAATACACCGTTACACATGACATATTAATTTTAAGAGAGTAAGGTGCTGACAAGATTCCAGAGTAATTTTATTCAGATTTCATAAAATGTGAATTTCCTGCTTGTATGAGTGATTTTACTGAACTAGCTGATTAAAATTTCAAGAAATTTTAACAAATCATGTAAATATTGTACCCGCATAATTTTAAAATTGATAATATAACTTCTGTTATATCAGAAGTTTAGCCCCAGTTCTCTTTGATACTGTCATAATTTTCCAATTATGTGTAATTTCTTTATATCTCATACTTGTAAATAACTATACATATTAAAAGCAACCTTTATTAAATATACAAAAGGTAAACAGAATTTTTAAACTAAATAAATTTAATATGAGTATAATATGGCAAGTTAAAATACAGTCATGTAAAGAAAAATATGTCTTGACGGTGAAACGTCCAGATTGCGAAATGGCCACAGTGAAATGGCAATGGCGAAAAGTCCTAGATTCTCATGTCAAAATATCTTGACTTTACATGATTGCTGCTTAGATGTTTGGTGCGCAACGTGCTGCTGACTCAATAGTCATAATTTTTTGGCTCTTCAGAGTATTTGCGCATTGCTGGACCATGTGGTTTCACATAATTCAAATACTGAGCCACAGTTTGTGCTTCAGTAGAGATGACTTGCAAGTTGGCTCATTGTGTAGTGTCAGCTGTGTTTCGCACATAAAAAGAAGATAACTTGTAACATAAAAAGGAAATAACTTGTAACATAAAAAGAAAATAACTTGTAACATAAAAAGAAAATAACTTGTAACATAAAAAGAAAATAACTGAAATCACTCCAATCATCTGAAATACTATCTCAAATTCTGGAGATTCTTTGGTGTGATTCCAAACTCTGTTGCAAATTTAGTGATTTCCACTTTTTGAGTTACTTTTCGGCTCATAACCACAAGAATTGGAAATCTATATATTCAATAGCTTTTTACTGTGCATATTTTATGCATGCAAATTACTAGAAATTAAGTGTAATTGATATATCAGATTCTGTGTTGATAACTTTGCATAATGATTTTTATCCTTAAGTTTCAGACACAGGTGTATGTATTTGTTATGTAAAATAATAAGTAGAAATTTAGAATGTAAACAAATGTTTGATGTACGGTAAATGTAATCAATACTTTGAAAAAATGTAAGTTTACTGATGGAATATTTTCTTTACACTTAATTTATATCTCCTTGGCTATTGCATATTTCATATTCAGCAGTACTAATACAGTGATTAGTAACAACACTAGCTTTTGAAGTATCTTCTTTTCATTGCATTTCTCCATACAAAATGTATTGTTAAATGCAATAAATACAGTACTACTTTCAGCCATTTTGGCACATTTATTTCATTCATATTTGTATTATATTTGCAATAGATATTTGAAACTAAATTTTAATTAATGATTTTATTTCCAGTTCTTATGATATAAAACTGTTTACATATTTTATTTCATAAATTTATTTTTGTTCTATTTTATTAAGTATGTAGTATTGTATATCCATGTATCAAATAAAATCCATGTATAGAATGATAAAGAGAAGTCCATGCCAAATTGTTTCTCAAAATATGTAATGACTTTTTGTTTGGATTCAAACTAAGGTGGGTTGAATCAGGACTTAAAAGAGAAGGGCTAGCTCATAGAGCTTTTCCCCCTGAAACAGGCAGTGGGGAGTGATGACATAGCCATGATGACACTGAGCGCGGAGATGCAATTGACAACATAGAAATTAGCGTTTTAAAT